AAAACTCAAATAAGCTCTACCCACTTGTCATCTAAAAACCACATGTAAGGAATTCACCCCCCCATTATCATCAAATGTCACCCAAACATAAACTACCTTGAAGATTCAAACAAAGACAATGGACAAAAATGCAGCAACAGAAAAAATGAAACTCACGGCAATCACCCTCAGCCCGCTATCATAGTATCTAAACCCCAACAAAACAAAACTCAAACAGCCAAAGGAAAAGTCACGGCTTCCGCATCTTGCTATTTGAAAAGGCAACAAGCACGCACAAAAGATAGCATCGAACAACAAAGCAAGAAAAATCAAAAGGGATTCCAGCCATTCCAGCCTTCAGCAACCCGAAAGATCAGATTTTTATCAAGATTGCTGTTAAAAAAGGTTTTAATCAACAGAAAAATTCGAGCTTTTCCACAAAGCCCTTGACAACAGAGACAAGAAAAGAAGGAAAACAAGACAGAACCCAAGATTCACAGTTCATCTCTTACTCAGCAGATTTACGGAAAAGAAGAAACAGACCAGACTTCATCCAAGGGCTTCAAGTAAATATCTAAAATATAGGTTTGATGAGGAACTTGGAAATATACCTTGAAAGGTTGGCAGAAGCCAATGTAATCTGTAAAAACCAGCCGATGAAGGAAGTTTCCAGCAGTTCCTCCTCCACTTTCCTTGTGTTTCTCGTTCCTTCTCTTCCTAGTCGGCAAAGCCTCCCTCTCCTTGTTCAGCCGAAGACCTCTCTCTATCACTTTCTTCCTGGTTTTTCTTTTTGCCGTCACTTTCGATTCTCCCTCAATCCTCTCACAGCTTTTTCCTCTCCGTTTTCTCGTTCCCTTCAGTCTCCCTCTTTGACTCTTGGTTGTATCTTTCTTTTTCTCAAATTCCAGCCGTCTGATTTTTATACGCCGCTACTTCCTCTCCCTCTCCATCTCTCGGATGTGGTTTCCCTTTTATATGGAACTCCAGGTTCCTAAACCCTCACCTCAATGGTGAGGATGAAGGCTTACCCTTGCCTTCATATCCAGCCATCCAACGGGCCTCTGTGATTGTGTTTTGCACGCTGCAAAAAATTGCAGCGTGCATGCCGCGATACCCTCTTTTTTTTTTAAACTAATTAATTAATTAAACAAAATTGATAATAATAATAAAAATAATAATAATAACAAAAACAACTTAATTAACATTGGATAAAAATAAATAAACTAGAAACAACAAAAAATGCAACTTTCTATTTTTCCTTTTTTCATTTTTCTCATTTTTCACTTTTTTTCAAAATAACTTAATAAAATAAAATGCCAAAAGGTTGAATTTAAAAGAAATAAACATATTTTGTGAGCAAATTTCTCTTTTTTTTTTCTTTTTTTTCCTTTTTTTTCATTATTTTTTCAAGAAAACATTGAATTTAAACAAAACGACTAAAGTATATTTTTGAATGGTTTTTCCTTTTCCTTTTTGAGAAATTCTATGCTAAGCTTAAAAAAGAGCAAAAATAAAAACTAAAATTAAAACTAATACTAAAAAAATGAATAAAACCAAAAATGACAAATAAAAATAAATAGCAAATGAACTAGACAAACTAAAAAAGCAAAAATGAACAAAACTAAAATGAAATAACAACTAAAAGTGCGAAACAAACAATAATGAACTAAAATGCAAACAATCTGAAACAAAAATCATGAATTAAATGCAACATACAAAATTATTTAAAATTTGGTGTCTACATTTCTTTGAACACATTTTCTTTACTTTACTTTATTACCTTAATTTCTTAGATATTTTTATAAGTGAGTCAAGTTTTTAAATCATTTTCTTGATATAAGTTAGTTCATGTTAAGTTTGAATTACATTATGGACGTGGGACCCGTTAATGCAGTGCGTGCAATAAATTTTGAAGATTAGAAGGAGTTTTGTACAAACGGATATTATTTTATAAGGTACTAAGAGATAATTAGAGATTGGCTAGATATTTTAGTGATTAGAAGACAAAAGGATGAGGATTAACCCTTAGATGCCAATTGTCACTGAAGCATTAGACCTTGACTTTGACTTGGACTTTTCTTAACCTTTACTAAACCAAATTTTGACCAAATTTCTTCCCATTTCTCTTAGCTTTGGCTGGCCATATGGAGAGGAAAAAGAGAGGAAATAAGCTTCATCTTCAACCTCAATTTCTAGCTTGAATCTTGAGTTTCAATTGATAATCTTGCAAACTCCTCCACAAAAGTTGATCACTAAGGAAGCTTAAGGGTTTTGGTGGAGTAATTTGGGAAGAAAAAGGCCTTGGCAGCCTCTTTGCATAGTGTTTAAGATATTTATGGCAATAAACTTTCCTCTACTTCAAATATATGCAAACTAGTGGTTTAGGGTTGCAATTTTGGTAGATTTATGAGAAATTCCATGGATTGAAGTAGTGATTTGGAAATTTTCAGTTTTTATGGTGACATTTCTGCCTATATATGATGCTTAAGGGTTGGACATGGTTTGATAGCTATGTGAAAAATCTAGTTCTTATATGCTAGTTTGACTTGTCTAAAGAAAATTTCAGCTTGTGATTATGAATTTCAGCTTAGTGTTTCATTTTCTAGCTTGAGTAGGTGATGGTTATATGCTATATATATGCTTTGATTTAATGAGTTGTTGGCTTGGTACGTATATGCTTGATTTGAGGCTGTTTTGTGGTGAGAATGAAACCTTGAATTGGCTGGAAAAAAATTGGTAAACACAAAGGAAGTGCTGCTGAAAATTTGTCCGCAGGGAACCTTGAGCAGTCTTAGGAAATCTATTATATCTTGATGTAGAAAAGTCAGAATTGAATTCGGTTTATTGAGTTTGAAACTACATTCAGGTACTTTCAACTGTGAAAATTTCATAATTTTTCTCAATTCCTATGAATATCTGTGATTTTCCAAATTTGACTGAATTTGCATACCTATTCTGTTTTTTTACTGGATGAAGCAGCAACTTTAGATTGGAATTTGACTAACTTGTGGATAGAATCTTACAATGGTGTCTTCTGGAGAATTTGTAACCCTTTGAGTCTATTTAATGACGGTATAAAGTTTATAAATTTTGAACTTAAGAAACTTGAGATATGATTTTCCAAATAGTATCGCGCAAAACTGGAAAAATTTTGTTAACCTAGAACCGTTCTTACTTTCATTTCCAACTATAAGTTAGAGTTGTTACACCATATGGAGCTTGATTTTATGAGTGGAATTGAGGGTTAAATGAAAGGAAATGAGTTTCTTCAAATCAATTTAGGTCTGGCAATTTCCAACTTTGTATTTTGAACGTCTTTTCTAATTTCTCAAAATGTTTGACTATAAGTGATGCTCTTGTGCTCTAAATGACTTTTGCAACGTTGATTAGTAAGTACATGAGGTTTACTCCTTGATTGGAACAAGCAAATATTATATTTTGATAAGTTATACGGGTATCAAACTTGTAAATTGATGCATGTTCTAAATAAAGTTTTGGAACGTCAATTTCTTCATATATTTTGACTTTGTATTGCTAGTCTTTTATTATAGTATGTGACCACAGGACTTGAGAATGTTCAAGAGGACAAACCAGGAATAAAGTGAAGGGTCGCAATTGATTGGTGAGTATTCCAACTGCGTATTTCATGCTCATTGTTGCTAGGTACTTGATTTATTGTCTCATAGGCAAGTGTGTACTTTATCGCACTTGACCTAACTCGATTAAATTTTGATATTCTGTTCAAGCATGTGAGACCATTTAATCATGACCGAAATCTGGCCTGAATCCGGCTAGAAAGTGGCTGGATTGTCGGTCGGATTTGAGGCGGTGAGCATCATGAAAATAATAAGTCTTCCCTGTCAATCCGGCCTTGAATCCGGCCAATATGTGGCCGGATTTGATAAGGAAATTTTTTATTTTTGCAATTTTCCTCCAGTTTTCTTGTTTGATCAGGTTTTTATAACCACCCAATTTTCAACTATTTGGACTTGAAATACTTGAAACATGATATGTTGAGCTTATTTGTGATTTGAACCTATTTAGGCGAGTGTGCTCTTACGTATACTCAATTGACTTGACTTGACTAAACACTTGATATCTCCTTCATGCATGAACAAGTAACTTGATTTGTATGTAACTTGTATATTGGCTTGAAATACTTGGAATGCTTGAAAATGTGGATTGTTGGACATTATTGTGACTTGATTATGGCGAGGCGAATGTGTCCTTATTCGCACTCGACCTCCATGAACTTGAATTAATCGATCCTGCGTGTGGACTTGCATGTTGATGTGCATGGTTGTAGACCGTCTGCATTTCTCTTGTGGCGGTTGAATTGTAGACTAGCTACATTTCTCTTGTAGTGGTTGAACTATAGACCGGCTACATTTCTCTTGTGGCAGTTGAATTGTAGACCAACTACATTTCTCTTAAATTGTAGACCAACTACATTTCTCTTGTAGTGGTTGAACTGGGTCTTGGACCTTATTCGAGACATTGGATAAGTAGAATTTAGGGTTACTCATGCTTATACGTGAATGTAAGTTGGTAACGGCTGAATTGAGCCCTCGTTGGACCTCTTGCTTTAGACCAGTCTCAGAGCAATCAGGTAAATTGGAAAATCTTCGGTAAAGGACAAAGTTCTTGACTTGTTTACTCCTGACTGGAATTCATTACTTGAAAAGTGACAACCAACGTTTCTAATCATTACTGCGTGAGCGTTGGATAGTAGCCAACAACTCCATTCCTGATTACTGAATACTTGAGGCTATAAACCAGATCCTGAATTACTATATATCTGGGACTATAAGTCCAACCCAGGGCTAGTTGGTCAAATCGAGCTGGCAAGGGTTTGATCGAGGAAATCGACGAACCTTGGGTACTTCTTTGACGTTCGGGGCCGGTAAGGGGTATGTTTGGTGGACGAAAATGTAGATCTCCTATTTGTTGGGATGAATTAGGTGAAAAAAAAAATCTTAGACCTAAATGCAGTACCATGGATAGAGGAGGCATGAGAAAAGATGAAGTTGATACGCCAAAAGATTCAGACAGCTCAGAGCCGTCAAAAGAGCTATGTAGATAATCGAAGGAAGAATTTAGAATTTGTAGTTGGAGATCAAGTTTTCCTTAAGATCACTCCTCTAAAAGTGAGTTTGATGGCAGGAAAAGGAAAGAAGTTGCAACCTAGATTTGTAGGATCTTATAAGATTATTCAACGTGTGGGAAATGTGGCTTACAAGTTGAAACTGCTACCAAGTTGGTTTCGAATTCATAATGTTTTCCATGTGTCTATGTTCAAGAAGTATCATCCAGATCCCTCCCATGTACTGCAACCAGAAAATATTAAGATCGACGAGGCATTGACTTATGAGGAAAAACCAGTGAAGCTTCTAGATCGTAAAGTGAAGGAACTAAGGAATAAGCGAATCCCTCTAGTAAAAGTTCTATGAAGGAACCATGGAATAGAGGAAGCAACTTGCGAAGTAGAGGAGAAGATTCAAAAGGAATATCCATACCTATTTCCAGATCAAGGTATGAATTTCATGGACGAAATTCTTTTAATGGGGAAAGAATATGAGGACTCATGTTTTTATTCCTAATTTAGTCATTTTTATATTTATTTGTCATAGTATTATTTAATTATTCTAGTATTGCATGAATTCCTTTTAAATTTCATTTTATCGCGAGCGTGACGAAAGTTTGACGAAAGTCGTGCTGGTATGACTAATTGGAGATTTGAGAATTTAGTACTAGACTAGTAAGTATAAGTAATTACAGTATTAGAGGAATTATCTTGGAGGATTAGTGTATAAGTGTATCAAACAAAAGAGAAAGTGGCAGTACAAAACCCTATTTGAGACACTATTAAGGGTTGACTTTCTTGCAAAACTTAATGACTACTTTTCCTCAATCTTCCCAAACAAGATTCATCACTCAAACTCCCTCGTCTCTCTCTCCTCTCTCGGCAGAACTCAAACAAGGGGTTTTAAGCGATAGTGTGTAATAGACAATTACCATTTGCTCAGGTGCTCAAGGAGACCTTCAAGAGGATCTCGAGAGGGAACACCTAAAGGCTCGTTTACGCACTTACTTCCTTATTTCGATTGGTGAGTGTCAAGTGCATGAACTTGATATTAAGTGGTTATCTGTTTCTTATCCATTATGAAAATTTGAAATTTTGAGACGAGGGTGTACTTTACCGCACTCGTACTCTTTCAAATGAAATTATATTCGAATTTTACTATGTGAATTCATATCCGACTTATACATGGTAATGTGGATATAATTTGTATTTGTTTTGATTTGTATATGTGATCCGTATTTGTGATTCCTATTTGGAATCGTCGATTGGAGCGTTGCTCGTCGACTTATATTCATATTCGTATTTGTATTCATATTCGTATTCGTATTCGGAGGACGCCCAAACTCGTTGGTTAACTTTGCGAATCGAGGCAGCATGGGTTTGGTCGATAAGCTTAGCCAACCATGAGATATTCGTAGAGCATGATCTATTGGAGAGATCTTGCTCGGCATTACTCGTGCAGTATTGCCATGATATACTCGAGTATTATCAAAAACTTTGATGAGCGGACCCGGTAAGGGGGTGTAATGGTGACGGGATTCGAAGAAAAATGGTGTATCTACGGATTTGATACTTATGTGGTTGACGGAGTGTCAACGTGAGATGTGATCAAGACTTCGACTCAACTACGTGGAATTTAGCTCTTGAGGGCTACAGTATACTTGAATTGTTTCTGTTTATTTTTTTCCTATTCGAAATGTGAATTATTCGAACTTTATAGCTTTACTTACTATGTAATTTGTGACTACTTGGATTATGTGTTTGCATGTGTGTTTCTTGGCCTCACGGAGTATTGGCTCATCCCATTAGTTTGTTTTCCTTAACAGGTTGGATTGAAAGATTTTGGAAAAGCCGACTAGATTATACTTTTGATTGGAATTTGGGCTGTAAATGTGTAGTCGACTTTTAATGGTTGTATTTTGGGACTTGATGTATCTTTTGTGAACATGATGTAAGATTTGAATATTTAGTTAAGGAAGCGAATTTTCTTTATTTTGACTTGTAGTATTTGATATGTATCGTTTAGTTCGATTTGAATTGTCTTGAGTTCTGGCGAGAGTTGGGCAGGCGTCCCGCAGATACCCTTGGGTTTGCCCTTGGGAGAAGTGGGGGCGTCACAGTTGGTATCAGAGCTTAGGCTTCAGATCTTTGTAGTGTATCCTAGGCTTGAAGTTTAGGATGCCGGACTGTGGGACTGGTTTGAAAGTTATGTGACCACTTATAGGGATAAAAATCAGAGCAGTTTCACGTGGTCTCTCGGTGGAGTGAACTTGGGCCAAGTGGTGATATGGTCCCAATTATGTGAATATGTATAAAGGACTAAGTGCTTTTCTTGTGCGTAAGTTGTGAACTACGAAAGTTGTAAGCGTAAAACCTTTATCATGCTACTTGAGGTAAATAGAGATGTACGTCAGGTAGGAATCTTAAACTATATTGATTTACACTTGGGAGCGTACGGCCTGAATTGTAAATTCTCTTAGTTTTGGATTCTTGTACTTGAGTACTAAATACTTTTCCTAAGGGAATACTTGTGACTTAGGAAGGGATATAATCTCATGTATTACGATGTGAATAGAAATCATGAGTGGTTTTGAGATAAGTTCTGATGGCAAAGGTCAGAGCACGGAGGATTTTTGTATTGGACTTGAGATCTCCATTTGTGGGGAATAAGAACGGGTTAATGTTTTGTGAGAGCAAGTGTAAGAGGTCAACGGACGTCTAGTTCAGGTAGTAAAAGAAGTGAGACATCGGATGGAGAATATTTTGATCAAATGTGGGACGATATTGACCAGAGAGAAGTGGAATGTAGTTGAGCTTGAAATGAGACACTTTTGCATTTCTTTTGGTTCGACTCAATACCCTAGCCGGTATAAGAATTTCATCTTGAATTTAGTAAGGAAAGCTCGTATTCGTTGGAAGTTTTAGACTAAGGACTTAAAAAGTGGCTTAGGTTTTGGACGGAATTTGGAATTTATAATTATTCAAATAATGTGGCTTGGTATCATGGATCCTTCTGGTTTTCCCCTAACTAGGCTTATGATTTTCTCCTTTTGTTCCTGCCTATGATAATAGGGGCAGTGCATACCATGAGGTCTTTTGTAATTTGCTTGCATGTACTTTTGTTTTTGTGGCGCTTAATTGTCCATGACCTATCTTTGACATGGCTTGTTTGTGATCTCTCAACTTGTACTATGACTTTTGATATATTTAAAGAATCATGCTTTAAATTTTAAATGTATTTGTAACTTGTATATGCATCTTGAACCCGCGTAAAAATCAGAAATTGAGCAAAGCTTAGGCTCGGATCTTTCCTTAAGAATAAGAGTGAATATTTGCTGTGAATTGGAGAGTAAAAATGACAAAGCTTTATGTACTATTAGAGTTAGCTTTTGGATTAGAAGTGAAGGGTGATAAAGGCGTTAGATCGAAGTTTATGCATATATGAACTTGCATGTTTATTTATTTTTCTTAAAAGTGTTTTTGAAAATATACGTCTACTCAAATGCAGCTCTTAACTTAAAACTATGAGAGAATTTTTGAAATATCCTCACTTTATATGTTATTTTATTATAGATGTGTTTTAGAATCCACGCATTGAGTTGCATGATTAATCTTCTTAAATGTATTTGAAGAATTCTTAAACGTATTGATGATTGTAGTAAAAATATTATTTGAAATTTCTGATTAAGAAAATTTAGTTTCGGGCCATAAAGAAAAGTTTGTATCTTTAACTCTAGTTTTGAAATTCTGAATTGCATTTTGCCACATACATATCCAAAATACATTAAAACCCTCGATTTTATCTCGCATGCTATGATTGACTCGATTTGGACAAATTAAGTCCGAAAATTTTGGTAAGTTTAGTCTTCAACTGACAATATATCACTCTATTCGAGTTTTGAACTACAAGATTGAATCTTTTAAACTGGAGTTTTAATTGACACTGGAACCAATTATTCTTGTGTAAACCCCAGTTTCATGAATGGTATAAGTAAAGTGTGATCACTTGTCCTACAACTTGGAAGCAAAAATGCCTATTGGGAAATTAAAGTTCATTGCTAATTGGATGAATAGAAATTGTGAGATATGGGTTGGAAAGTGTATGTTGTTGATTGATTTGATAAGTATAACTCTTAAGAAATATGATATTATCCTAGATGTGAATTTCGAGGACGAAATTCTTTTAAGGAGGGGAGGTTGTGAGGACTCAAAAATTTTCTTATTTTCGTCATATATTACTGGTTTATTTAAATAGTTATTCACTCATTTTCTCCAAATTATTTAATTCGACTACATAAAATCCATTTATACGGAAAAACACCTCTCTTATGTTTTTAAAGCGTTTTGTTAGAAAATTTACTTTTCAAAAACTCGTTTAGTTCTGAACAACGAGTATACGTTTTTTGAGGCTATATTTGAATCGAGAGTATATTAATTTTGGAGAAATAAGAATGATCAATAGTAGATTAAGAAAAGTTAACTTGAGATTTGAGGAGTTAAAACTCGACTCATGTGAGGACTCGCAAAATTTATTATTTTAAATTCCATTTCGAGCTTATTTAAATATTTAATTACCGATTTACTCTGAATATTATTTTCTTGTCCATTTAGACCTAATTACATGAGTTTATAGCTTCGTTATAATTTTAAAGTGACTCGTTTCAAAATTTAATTTTTGGAAACTCGTGAAGTGAAAATAGCGAATACGCGATTGGAGTTAATAATCGATTCGAGGATACACTAAGTTTGGAAAATTAGAAACTTGCAGGATGGACTTAAAATAGGTAATTTTATGTTTAAGTACTTAAGTGATAGTTATCAATACTATCGTTATAAGAAATTCTTGGAAGTTTCGCTTTATCGCGCTTAATTTGGAGATACGCGTTTTTACACGCGCGATTTAATTGATAGACTTTAGACCCTCATTTTGGGACAATTAAGAGTGGACAATATTTATATGAATATGAGTGCATTAAAGGTTTAGTGCACTAGTGAAATAAACTCGAGAGGAATCGAGCACGAAGTGCGCGTGTACGCGCACTATCCTTAGTTGACTTTTGGAGCATTTTGGGCAACACATTATTAAGCTTCTCATGGGTGCATCACACTAGATCATAACCCTTCAATTCATCATCTAAAGTGTCATACAACACTCTCATTTCCTCTCCAAGACAGCCGGCCAGCATCCCAAAGAAACAACTCAAGTTCTTCAATTTTCTTCACCTAAACTTGCTCCAAATCATCACCATTTCACTTCAAATTTCAACCACACTTAGTTCAACACTTGGAGATTACATCTAGCTAAAAAAAGGAGCTGCTGTCCGCGGTTTTTCTTGAGCTAAGGAGAGCCAAAATTTCTATCTTGAA